ATATTAGGTGGGATCACCTCGGATCGAGTCTGGACGATTTCAAGAAGTTGGAACCCATTTACAATTACCAAATGACTCCGAGTAAGCGGTAACGTCGAGCGGTGTTGCCATTTTAAATTGATTTACCAACTTCACCGGGAACGATCCATAGATCAACCTGTTCCCGTTTGATCTTACTCGTTTTCCGATACATCCGATAGTTGTAAATGAACTTCGGAGACCATGTTTGCGTACAGTCAAGTGTACGGATGCGTTCCGGGCCGAAATCCGGAATTCCCCGTCTCCGCGGCCATTCCGCTGATATCTTCGAACCGCTCGCGTCTCATTTGCGCCCGCTGCTACCAAGAAACACCAGTCTCTGCCGTGTCACCGTGATAGCGATCGCGGACGAGCCACGAGCGATTCGAGGAGGAACAACACGGGTCGGAGTCGTGGAAACGGTGGAACGTTGGGTTTTCAACCGGGGTCGCATCGTCACAATCCGTTGGAAAATGTTTGTTCTTTGCCCAAACCGAGCGACAATTTAGCCAAAGCATTATTTTATTATTTCCAATGGTACACGTGCAAGTTCTTCATCAAGTATATGTTTAAAGTAATCCGCGCGCGCGCGTAGGCATGTCGTGTGTGTCCGATGCATATGTGTGCGAATGTATGTGCGTGCGTATGGCATACCCTTGCTACGAAAACCATAACATGTTACCATGAGAGCTGTGCATGTTTGGACCTAGAAAATAATGGGCCTTATTCGTAACAATTTGGTTGGTCTCTGATCGGAGATGTTGGTGTTGCAAGTAAGGATAGCAGTTGTGTTACGAACGTCTAACATTGAACTTCCTCCACGGTCAGATCAACAAACCGATCGTTGAAAGTCGTTGAAGTCATCGTATAAGAGTCTCCGGTGTTGTAGATCCAAACATTTTAGTTCCTTGCAAAATACTTTGCTCGGTGTCAATTAAGGCAGTAAACTGCACAATAGCCGAATGAGCTTGAAGCACACGCAAACTTAAATATGTTTTTCCTATTTCGTCTCACCCTCTCTCACACCCTCTCTCTCTCTCTCTCTCTCTCTCTTTCTCTGCCTCTCTTTTGTCTTTTAAACGATTCTGCGTGCAATTTACGTCGATTCGCACGACTTACTCTTGCGCGTAGGATCGTCTGTTTTCTCAGATTTTCATGGCCCTGTGTGTGTATATACGTATACGTTTACGGAATGTTACGTCTACGCGCGCGTGTACATTTATTTCGAAGGGATTTCGCTGTTAAGTTTTAAATATAGGTCACGCCTTGCTTCTGTCCATGGTAAATAGATCGATACCACCGTTCTGATTCGAAATTTTGCGAGCCGCTGTCTCAGATTTTTCGATTCGTGTGCCTTCTGTGACGATATTGTTGAACCTTTAATTATTCGTTCGGGCAGCTACGTTTATTTTGTACAATTATTTTGTATGTTACACCAAAGAGTACGAAAGGAGAGCCATTGTGATCGTCTGTTTCGTTTTTGTTTTGTCGCGATTCGATTGCTATGTCACCGGCTTCATTTTAACGCATTACAGTGTTTACTCTAGTATTGCTCGCTTTCCAAGCACACCGGCACCAACACTTTCTACAAAGTTACACGGTGTATATCCCCTTGTGATCCACTCCGAACCGAAACGAAACGAAACATTCTCCACACGGGAAGCACACGTCTACAATGCTCGGCCGCCGTGAATTATTGGAGTAAATACTGTACTCGCTTCAAAAAAACGCTTTTTCCTTGATTAACTTGTAAGCCTTTGAACGCAGTGTTTAATTGGTACAGAAGTTACTGATTTTCATTTCTTTTCTTTTACCATTATTATTATTATTCAAGGTAGGCGACTCGGTTGTACGTTTCTTTGTATTTCATGCGAGTTACGCGAGGACACGTATTTTTTATTGACGGAAAGAAAGGAAGGAAGAAAAGAAATGCGTTAGGATAAACAAGTGAGAATCGAGCGAGAAGACGGGTGAAAGACGTGCGCGAGAAGTAGCAGAAAAAAAAAGAAGTTTAGTTGAAAGTACGTTAACCGATTGAATATATAGCGAATTAAAACAATATTGTAAACAATAGGAGTTGAAGAAAGCACATAGGCGTTAAATTAGAGCGAGGTAGAGCCTGAACAACGTTAAATTTGACGCCGGTTCATTTGTATCGATTTCAAATTTCCCGCCGAACCGCGGGGCAGGGATTGAAGGCGTAGGGAACGGGCTGCGTTGTTCTTACGTTACGACTGACAAATTCGATTGTTCGATGACGGTTCGAGCCCGAGTTGGGAATAGAAAAGAGATAAGACAATAATATTTTTAAACGACATTGTTTTATGTCATTTTATTGTCTAAAGGCGTCCTTCCATGAACCGAGGTTTGTTATTGTTTCGAACGAACAGAAATTTTCAGTTGAGAGAGAAATTGTACTCGGTACATCGTTTCCCATTTTTCTTTCTGTTTTTTTGTTATACAATTTAAGCCATTGTTTCGAATATTGTTTTGATTGAGTCGAAAGTGCAATAGACGGAGAATTCATTCAGTTCGAAATTGTTGTATTTAGTTTTAATTGTGTCTCGTAAAGGAGATCGGTTTCTGTTACTCGAGTTGCTGGCATTGCATATCATTTTGTCGAAAAAC